ATTCTTGTGCACTAACAAATTGATATCTAGAGCTCTGGTTCTGATCCACAGGGAAACACGAGTGAAACATGAGGCATTATGTGATTGATTTTGGTTCTGGGTTCGTGTTGAATCTTTGGACAAAATTGTAACAAAATCACCTTTTCTGATTCTGTGGGATTAGGAAACACTATGCTTGTGAGATTTGAGTGAGTTGTATAAGATTAAGGATGAACGAAAACGGTAATCTGAGTACCAAACTTCCTATTTTTGATGGTAAGAACTGGAACAGATGGATGGTTCAGATGTGCGTGTTATTTGGTGCTCAAGATGCGCTTGAGCTTGTTACCAATGGCTATGTTTTGGTTGTAGCAGATGCGACGGAAGAAGAGAGAGATGATTATAGAGACAAGAGGAAGAAAGATCAGAAGGTGTTGTTCTACATCCATCAATGTGTAGATGTGAATATGTTTGAGATGATTACTGATTCGACAAAGGAGAAGGAGGCATGGGACACACTGGTCAGATGTTATGGTGGTGACGCATTAGTGAAGAAGGTAAAGCTTTATTCATTGCAAAAGTAATATGAGAATCTCAACATGAAGAATAATGAGAAGTTTTCTGAGCACATTTCTAGAGTGATTCTGATCACTAATGAGATGAAGGCTTGTGGAAAAACTATTTATGGACAAGTAATTATTGAGAAGATATTGAGGTCACTTACCCCTAAATTTGATTACATTGTTGTAGCAATTGAACATTCTAAAGATCTGGAAACCATGAGAATAGAAGAGCTGCAAAGCAGTCTAGAGACACATGAATTGCGTCTGACTGAAAGAACTTCTGATAAGGAAGTTGAGCAGACTTTGAAAGCGTCTTTCGTCAAGAAAGACCAGAAATATTCTTGGTCAGAAGACAAGAATAGACGTGGTGATAGATTCCAGAAGTCAGAAACCTCTACTTATGATGAGAAGAAACATCAGAATGGAAAGGAGAAGTTTGATAAAAAGAAGGTTTAATGTTACTGTTGTTTGTAGTTTGTTCATTTTCTAAAGATTGCTGGTCAAATAAGGGAAGAAAATCAGAAGAAGCAAATATAGCCAGAGGAGATTCTGATGATGAACCTGTGCTACTGATGGATTCTAAGTCTGATGGGAAGTGTTTGGCCGACTGGTGGTATATGGACACTGGCTGTTCAAATCACTTGAGTGGAAACAAACAATGGCTGATAGATTTTAACTCCAGAAGGAGGACAAAAATCAGATGTGCTGGTGATAAATACCTTAATGCAGAAGGTATGAGAAATGTCAAAGTTAAAGTGAAGAATGGAAAGACCATTCTGATCAAGGATGTTTGGTATGTTCCTGGAATTAAGAGCAATCTGATGAGTGTGGGTCAGCTCATTGAGAAAGGTTTCTTAATTATTATGAAGGATAATCTCTTGAAGTTGTATGATTCCAATCAGAAGTTGATTATGCAATCTGAGCAGGAAAGCAACGGGAGATTCAAGGTGAATGTAGAAATAGCTGAAACAGAGTGCCTTAGTGCAAAAGGCGCTGAAGGCAATAGTAAGTTGTGGCACAAGAGGTTGGGGCATTTGAGAATTTATGTGAGGTATGCATGAAAGACAAGCAACCCAAATTGCCATTTGTATCAGAAGTATCCCCAAGAGCAAAACATGCTTTGGAAGTAGCGCATTCTGATGTGTGTGAACCATTTCCAAAACCTTCACTTAGAGGAAATAAATATTTTGTGTCTTTTGTGGATGAGTTCACAAAAATGACGTGGGTAACACTCATAAAGTTTAAACATGAGGTGTTTACCGAGTTCTAGAAGTTCAAGGTGAAGGATGAGAAACAAAATGGTCAGAAGCTGAAGATTCTCATAACAGATGGTGGGCGTGAGTATAACTCTACAGAGTTCCAGAAGTTCTGTGATGAGAATGAAATTGAGCATGAGATTACTGCTCCTTATACTCCTCAACACAATGGTCTTCCTGAAATAAGAAATTGTACTTTGCTTGATATGACCAAAACCATGCTGAAAGAGAAGAAGCTACCTCATAACTTGTGAGGAAAAGTTGTAGCCAAGTCAGCATATATGAACAACAAGCGTCCAATGAAGAAGCTGAAGGAAATTGTTCCTTTAGAAAAGTGGACTAGAGACAAGCAAAGTGTTAGTCATCTAAAGGTGTTTGGTTCTGTATGTTACAAACACGTTCCAGAAACTAATAAAGTTGAAGTCAACAGAGACATAATTGTAAAATAATGAGAAGCAAATCTCAATCTATTTTGAAGATAACACAAAACTTGACAATTCTGAAGAAGAGTTAGAGTCAGATGATATTTCTGGAAACTCTGAAGATGAGTCAGATGGTGAATCTGATTCTGATTCTGATTTTGGAAGGAAAAACTTTGAAGACATAGGTTTTGGAGGACAAGCTTCTGAAGATGATCATGTTTCTAGTGAAGGTCGTGATTCTGAAGGTGGAACTTCATAAGGTAGAGGTTCTGAAGGCGATCTAACTTTTGAAGATGGTAAAGTATCTGATATTGTTCCAAAATCAGAAAGAGTTTTTGAACGAGTTCAAAGGCCATAAAGAATCAGACAAATACCAAGAAGGTTTGTAGAGTTTAACATGTTGCAAGACACTGAAGTAGATTCAAAAGGAGAAATTGTTCAGTGTGCCATGTTAGTAGATTCCGAACATGTTAGTATTGAAGAAGCTCTCAAGAAGAAAGTATGGTTGAATGCCATGAAAGAAGAACTTGAGGCTATAGAAAGAAACAAGACTTGGAAGCTGACTAAGCTCCAGATAAGAAGAAAGCCATCAGCGTCAATGGGTTTTCAAGGTCAAATATAAGCTAGATGGATCAATTGGCAAGCACAAAGCAAGGCTAGTGGTTAGAGTTTTTCTTCAGAAATCTGAGCTAGATTACTTTGAGGTGTTTGCGCTTGTAGCTAGACATAAAATAACCAGATTGGTGATTTCTTTAGCTGCAAATAGAAATTGGCCTCTGATGCATCTGGATGTGAAGTCTTCATTTTTGAACGGTTCATTGCAAGAAGAGGTATACGTGTCACAAACTCCTGGGTTTGTGAAAAATAATCAGGAAGGAATGGTGTAAAAGTTACATAAAGCTCTGTATGGATTGAAGCAAGCGCCTATAGCTTAGAATTTGAAGATTGATTCATTTTTCAAGAAGCAAGGTTTTCAGAAGTGTGAGATGGAATATGGTGTTTATGTGCAACATTCTGGAAGCGATATGATTCTGGTATGTCTTTATGTTGATGGCATATTATTAACGAGAAGCTGTCCAGAAAGTATAATCAAGTTCAAAGAGGTGCTAGCGAATGAGTTTGAGATGACTGAACTTAATATGGTATATTTTTTAGGAATTAAACTTTATACTCGAAGAAGGGTATCATTTTGCTTCAACTGAAGTATGAACTTGAGCTTCTAAAGAGATTTAAGCTGCAGAATTGTAAAGCTGTTACACCATCAGAAACTAATCATAAATTAGATTCTGACTTTGATGGTGAGGATGTAGATGCTACAACCTTCAAATAGTTGGTTGGTTTTCTAAGGTATTTGTGTAATACCAGATCTGATATTTGCTATGCAGTTGGAATGGTTTGTAGGCTCATGAGTAAACCTAAGTGGTCACATTCCAAGCCGTTGTCAGGATTCTGAGGTATATCAAGGGAACTCTGAAGTTTGGAGTACTATTCTCTTCTGGAAGAAAGACAAATTCATAGTTGATGAGTTATTCTGATTCTGATTGGTGTGGACATAGAGTTGATAGAAGAAGTACTTCTGGATACTTGTTTAAGTTTCTGGGAGGTCATATTTCTTGGTGTTCTAAGAAGTAATTTGTTGCTGCTCTATCAACGTGTGAAGCGGAGTACATTGCAGGTGTTGTAGCTGCTTGTCAAGCTGTGTGACTTCTGAATTTATTGCAAGATTTGAAGATCAAGGTAGATAAGCCTCTGAAGCCGATGATTGATAACAAGTCTGCAATCAATCTTGCCAAGAACCCAGTACTGCATGAGAGAAGAAAGCATATTGAGATAAAGTGTCACTTTCTTAGAAGTCAAGTCTAGAACGGAGTACTAGAAGTTGTGCATTGTAGCACCTAAAAGCAGCTGACAGATATCATGACAAAGACAATCAAGACAGATCAATTTCTTCGATTAAGGGATATAATTAATATAGTTAGTTTTAATTAGAAATTCTAAATTAAGGGGTATTAAAGGGTATTTTAATATTTCTAATTGTTTTTGATAACTTAGTTATTAAATCTATTCTATTAAGGCTTATGTGACATTCCTTTTCGTGTATAAATAAACTAGTTGGAAATGTCATAAATATAATAATATTTATTTCTCTTAAAGTTTTTATAGCCGTCATTCTCTTTGCTCTCTTAAATATATTCCTTTGTTCATCATTGATTCTTGTGCACTAATGATTTCTAACTTCTCTATACTTTTTATGTCTAATTCTTGATTGACTTAATTATTATTATTGTTTTTAGAATATTGATGGAAAATGCTCTAATACTTTCTTTGTTATCTAATGAATGATATTGTTTATTATAAATTAAAAAAATATACCATTTACATAAATCTCAAAGAAGTTATTAATGAAACACTCCAACATAAATGTCAATTCAACAAAAATATCAAAGACAAAACCGAAAAAGAAAAAAAAAACGGTTAACAAAATAGGCCACAATATGGAGAATAAAATTAAAGATACGCATATAGAAAAATCCCATAGTACTATGTTATGTAACGTTGATGATTGTATCTAACTTTGCATTATAAATGTGTGACCTAATCTAATACTAGTTTTATTTTAATTCTAAAAAAGAAGCTAGATTTTAACCAAATAATGAAGATTAGCTCGTTGGACTAATCTAAAACTGAAGTACACGCGCGCACACACAACAACCCAAGCAACACTTTGATTTCATGAAAAATTGAACTCACAACACTTGAATTGATTCAATTCCCTTTCAATGGCTACTTCTGTTTCTGCTTCATCAATCGCTAATTGTTCCATCCCTTCATCATCTTCATCATCTTCTTCTTCATGGTGCATAGTCTCATCCTCACGCGTCACGTGGCGGAGGCGTGACTCTTGTAGAGCTATGGTTCAAGTTCAAACTGGTGCACCTGCTGCGTATGCCAAGGAAATGGAACGCCTTTCCGCTAAAGAATCGCTTCTCCTCGCGGTTAGTCAACAACCATTTCATTCTCTCATTTTATGCTTTTGCTTACTGTTTTAATTGCTTTGATTTTCTCTTTTTTTTTTTTTTGTAAACCAAATTGTGATGAAAGGGGGTAATTGGGATTGAAAAGTGTTAAAATTTACCAATTTTTAATCTACCCCTTTGGAATTTCTGAATAAGTGCTTATAGTGTTTTAAATGGTGAAATCAAAAGGAAATAGTGATGGAATTGAATTTATACCCGATTGGAGTTAATTATTCAACTTGCTTTTACATGAATGTATCCCAACAAACATTATTTTATACTTAACTCACTTTATTCCGAATCAATTTTACCAAATTCATTCATTCAAAATCAAAATTTTTTTTTGTCACAATTGAACCAAACACACAGTTACATAGGGGTTATCAAAAAAATCATTAACTAACAAAAGAATCATCTACAAGTGGTCTAATACAAGGATATGCCAATTAAAAGGAACTAACTACACAAATTGTTTAAACTCAATTGTGTAGTTAGTTCCATATTAACTAGGAATGAGTTAAGTTCTACATTGACTAGGAAAGAGTTAAATGAGGTGACCCATAAATACCATACCTTGGTAAAGATGTGGTGTTCATATCTCTTGTGGTTCGGGTATTTAGTTTCTTGTGTTTGTGTTCTCTGGACTCCCTGACAAAATTAAAATGAAGTTGATTATCCTATATCTCATCCAATATAGCAGTTTGTGCAAATTTTCAAGTTTGGACTCAAACATGTTAGAAACATAGCAACAGTTAGGGTTGTGCATGGTAACCAACCCGCGAAAACCAAACCATTTTTTTGGTTATGGTTTCAAAACCAAATCATCATTATCTTGAAAAACCGGTTCATGTTTGTGAAATTGGTTCAAATTAGTTTGGATTCAGTTTAAAACCGGTTTTGATTAAAACACAAATTTCAATAGAAGATCTCAAGTGATGATGGACACTGCGATAGAAAATGCAATGATGTTGAAACCATCATTTATGTGAAGGTTGTCAGTTCCACAAACGCCGCATGTCATCGTTTCTGTAAATAACATTGGTTACGTCGTTCCGCAAACGCTGCATGCCATCGTTTCTGTAAATAACATTGGTTCCGTCGTTCCGTAAACACCGCATGCCATCGTTTTTGTGAAGATCGTTGGTTCTGCAAACACCACAAATCACCCTTTCTATGAATGTCGTCGGTTCCGCTAATGCCGCCTCTGAGTGTTGCTGGTTCCGTGACATTAATGATAAAAGCTAAAAAACATTTTCCGGTTCCGCTAACGCCGCCTCTTGAGTGTTTCTGTTTCCGCTAACGCCGCCTCTGAGTGTTTCCGGTTCCGTCAACGATAAAAGCAAAAAAAATTCTCAAAAACATTCACAGATAGGATTGAGAAAGACATGTAATCTGATCAACATAAAAAGGATTGAAAAACTAAAATAATGAACTAGTTACAGAGATTGGAAGTGAGAGACATGTGTACCTTTGCTTTAATGAAAGAGAAGATAAACATAAACTTCCCACTACACTAAGATAAACTGGTTTATAAACCAACGCACAAAACGGTATTCGGTTTATTGGTCTTTGGTTTCATTGAATCCAAATTTACTATTTTACAAATGGATTGGGCTTTTTAAAAATGGAACAATTTGGGTATGGATCAGTTATGGAAAACTAGTTTTTTTGAACACCCCTAGCAACAGTAGAAAGGAAGAAGAAAGAGAAAGAAAGGAAGAGAGAGAAAGTAGATCTAAAACTCTAACTGAATTGTATATTATCATAGAGGACAAGACTGAGTTATATACTCAGCACAATGATATTACAATTTTACCCTGTCCCGGACCTGCAGCTTGCTTCTTAGTTGCAGGAACTTGAGAGATGAGAGGGGCTTGGTGAGTAAATCTACATATTGATCAAACCCAGGAATGTGCTTGACTATCAAGCTCTTGTTCAGCACTTTTTCCCGTAAGAAAAAGATGTCTAGTTCCATATGCTTGGTCCTAGCATGTAGAATAGGATTGTGTGACAATGACACAGTGCTGACATTGTCACACAGCAGGACAGGTGTAGTAAACGGCATCTTGAGCTCAGTAAGCAGTGACTGTATCCATAACACTTCTGCAGCAGAATTAGCAAGACTCCTGTACTCTGCCTCTGTACTAGACCTTGCAACTAAGGTCTTTTTCTTGGACCACCAAGAAACAAGATTAGGTCCAAGAAAAATGCAGGAACCTGAGGTGGATTTCTTATCATTAGGATCTGCTCCCCAGTCAGCATCAGAAAATGCTGTAATTGAAAGAGGAACTTGAGTGCTAGCAGTCTGCAGATGCAGCCCATGACAGAGAGTCCCTTTAAAGTACCTGAGAATCCTTTTAACAGCAGCCCAGTGGCTTTCAAGAGGATTAGACAGAAACTGGCAAGCTTTGTTGACTACATAACTGATCTCAGGCCTAGTAATCGTGGCATACTGCAGTGCCCCAACAACTGACCTATAGAAAGTAGGATCCTGCACCACATCTGGGCCATGTTTGGTAAGCTTAAGACTAGATATCATGGGGGTAGGCACACCATTAGCCTCACTACGATTAAACTTGACCAGGAGATCTTTTAGATATTTTGTCTGAGAAAAAAACAGAGATCCATCCTTGAAGTGAGATACCTTAATACCCAGAAAGTACTCCAATTAGCCTAGCTGTTTAAGTGCAAACTGAGCATGCAGTTTATTGACCAGTTCCTGAATATGCTGTGCAGAATTTCCAGTTACAATTATATCATCCACATAGACTAACATAATGATAGTATATGAGGGCGTGACAAGGGTAAAAAGAGATGGATCACATCTGCTAGAGGAAAAACCAAACCCCTTTAGGGCTGAAGTTAGTTTCTCAAACCAGGCCCTAGGCACCTGTTTAAGCCCATAGATGACTTTGTTCAGTTTGCAAACAAGAGAGGCATCACTGGAAACTTCAAAGCCAGGAGGCTGCAGCATATACACTTCCTCCTCAAGTGTGCCATTAAGGAAGGCATTATTCACATCCAATTGTGTGATATGCCACCTCTTGGAGATAGCTATAGTGAGCACGATTCTAACAGTTACAGGCTTAACCACAGGTGAGAATGTCTCAGTAAAATCAAAGCCCCGTTGCTGGTGGAAACCCTTGGCAACTAGTCTTGCTTTGTACTTGTTAAGGGTTCCATCAGGGTTTTGTTTTACCTTGAACACCCATTTGTTCCCTATGGCCTTCCTATGAGGAGGCAAACTGGTTAAAGTCCATGTGTTTTTTTTCAAGAGAGCCTGATATTCATCAGTCATAGCAACTTTCCAATGGGGATCCTTTAGGGCAACTTTATAAGATGTGGGCTCCAGTTCAATGATAAGAAGGGTGGGATGCTGTATGGGTTGTACTATGCCATTCTTCCTCCTAGTGGTCATAGGATGCATATTGTTAGGGTGTAAAGGTGGCAAAGAAGAATTATCTGCAGGGACATCAGAAGCAGACAAATCAGATGCAGAGCCAGAGACAGAGGGCTCAGATATAGGTGCTAGAGAGTTAGAACTGGAGCTGACTGAAGTGTTGTTGTTGGTCTGAGCAGGTGATATGGGACTAGAAAGAGAAGCTGGCTCAGGGCTGATAGAAACTGAGGGATGAAGATTGTTGGGACCCTGATGGAAGTGAGGAGGCTGTGAGATTTGAGAGAGACTGATGGGAAATGGTGGAGATAGAGGGATAGAAGAAACAGAAGGAGCTTCAGTAGTCACACTCTTGGCATAGAGAAACCTAGCTTCATTAAACACTACATCTTTAGAAATGTAGATTCTACCATTGGAAGCTAGGCACTTGTACCCTTTGTGATTAGAAGAATATCCCAGGAAAGTGCATTCTTGTGAGTGAAAATTGAATTTATTGGGAGAATAAGGTTTGAGGTAAGGGTAGCAGGCACACCCAAACACCTTGAGAAACCTGTAATCAGGGGCACATCCATACAACATGAAATAGGGAGATTTCATGGCTAGAAGAGGAGTGAGCATTCTGTTGATTAGATAAGTGGCAGTGAGGCAGGCATGATCCCAGAATTGCAAGGGAAAACTTGCTTGAGACAACAAAGTCAACCCTGTTTCAACAACATGCCCGTGCTTCCTTTCCACAGTGCCATTTTGATGATGGGTGTGAGGGCAAGCTAGTCTGTGTGCAATGCCATTGGTGAGAAATAACTTGGTGAGAGACTGAAACTCTCCTCCACCATCAGTCTGAACTGATTTTACAGCAGTTCTGAACTGTACCTCTACAGCAGTGATGAAGTGTGTGATGGTGTGCAATACATCAAACTTTAACTTGAGAGGAAACACCCATGTATATTTAGAAAAAGCATCTACACAAGTCAGCAAGTATTTATATCCACATGTTGAAGTCATAGGAGCTGGACCCCATACATCCAAAAAGAGTAAATCAAAAGACTGAGTATAAGTTGTGTGTGAAAGTGTACTAGGCAGCCTATGCACTTTTCCTAGGCAGCAGGGAACACAGAAATCCAAGGGAGACTTGTGTGGCACCGGAACATTGAGAGATTGCAGAGTTGACTTGAGCACTTCATGGTGAGGATGCCCCAGCCTATTGTGCCATAAGTTGTAAGTAGATGCTGAAGTAGAAATTGAACCGCTTGTGATATGATTTATTGAAGGCAAGGGTTGGAAAGGATCAAAAGAGTAAAGACCATCTTTATTCACCACACCCTGCAGCAACACTTCATTGGCCTGTGTTTTGACAAAACACCTGTCAGCATGGAACTCAAAATAAACACAGTTATCCTTGGCAAACTTGCTGACAGACATGAGATTCTTAGTGATAGCTGGCACAAGTAATAGGTGATTGAGTGTAAGAGTGGTGTGTGTGTGTGTAGAGGTGAGACAAAGGTAGTTGAGCCAATAGAAGTTATAGGGAGTCCTTGCCCATTTCCAAGCAAGACCTGATCAGTACCAGGGAGTGTCATGCTTTCAGACATATAGGCAGCATTGTTGGTAACATGGTGAGTTGCTCCTGAATCAGGGTACCAAACTTGAGAAAGTTGACCAACAGCAGCTGCAGTCGCATCTGTATCTGTACCAGTGAAATAGGCTTGTGGTTGTTGTGCTGGTTTTGCAGGAAACCCTGGTGGTGGTCCTCTTAGAGCTGGTGTAAGCCACTGATTAGGAGTAGGAGCAGTCCACTGTGATGGAGCAGGCATAGGCATAGCTGGAGCACTTTGAGTCCACTGATTCCAGTTCTGATACTGAGGGTGTGACACCTGAGCTTGTGACCACATGTTAGGCATCATTGTTGTGTGCCTGTGATAGCACACACTAGCATCATGTCCCATCTTATGACAAATCTGACACTGCACCTTGTATCTTCCACCAGAACGACCACCTCTGCCCCTGTAAGCTCCACGTCCACCACGAAAACCGCCACGTGAATCACCATAATAGCCAGTCACAGGACCATATGTAGCTTGAACTGAAGCATCTTGAGCAGTCTGTGTCGCATCTGCAGTCACAGGAGGTGTAGCCTGAGCTACGTTGACAGAAATAGGTTCAGCAACCACACTCTTCTTAGTCTTCTCTAGTTTCGCTTCATGAGAAAGAAGCATAGATTCAACTTCAATGATAGGACAAAGATGAGGCCTGTACTGGATGATTGAAGCTAGGGCATTGTACTCCTCTGGTAAACCATCAAGAATGGCTTCAATTTGATCACGATGCGAAATTGGATCGTCAATTGACTCAAGCACGTCCACAATTCGTTGAATGCGAGCAAGATACTCTGTAACCGTTTTCTCCCCTTTCGTAATCGATTTGAGCTCCGAACGAAGTTGCGCGACTTCGCATTTGTGTGCGCGAACATGTATTTGTGAATCTCATTCCAAATCTGATGAGAATGCACACAACGAACAACGCGAGGAAGAACGGAGTCAGACAAGGTGGTGAGAAGCCACGTGAACAAGAGCGAGTCCTGTTGCTCCCAAGAGACATACGCTGGATTTTCTGCATCGTTCTCACGATCTGCTTCCGTGAGATAGCGTGGAGGAACGATAGGGCTCACCAGAAGACGATGAAGTTGTGCGTTCTGATGATCCCTTTGACTTGTTATTTCCACGAACGAAAGTTATTCTCATCAAATTTCAAAGTAATTTGTTGCGCAAACGTCTTGAACGCGTTCTTCACGTTGAGCGCCGGCGTCGCCGGCGTTGCACCGGTCGTGTTCTCAGATTCACCATCGGAAGCCATGGCCAAGGATCGAGCTTAAGCTCTGGATACCATGTTAGAAACGTAGCAACAGTAGAAAGGAAGAAGAAAGAGAAAGAAAGGAAGAGAGAGAAAGTAGATCTGAAACTCTAACTGAATTGTATATTATAATAGAGGACAAGACTGAGTTATATACTCAGCACAATGATATTACAATTTTATCCTTTCTACTATTGGAGTATATATTCTAATAAAACATACTTACTCTGGAGATATCCTTTCAGTTTAAAGATGCAGGAGAATTTGAGGGCTTAGTCTCTGGGAAGACAACTGAATATCAAAGAATTGATGTGAATGAGAGGATAACTGGCCTTGAGCGGCTCAATCCAACACCTCGACCCACGACGTAAGGGAATAAGAATGTCCATGTCTATGCTTTTATGAATAAAATGTTGATGTTGTTATTTGCTACAGGTCACCTTTTCTAGAAGGTCGATGGAAATTTGAGTGGTTTGGTCCTGGATCTCCCGGGTTATTTGCAGCTAGGGTTATATTTGAGTGAGTTCTTTGATTTACTTTTACCTGCCCTTAAAACTAGCACTATCTTGCCTTTGAGTTACAATGCTTCCCTACGTGCCTTATATGTTTGCAGGAATTTTCCTTCAAGTTTAGCTAATTTTTCGAAAATGGATGTCTTTATCAAGGACGGAAATGCAAAGATTACTGCAAACACAACATTTTTAAACTCGGTACTTCTTTTTAATGTCTAATTTTTCTATACATCTACGAATCTTGCCTCAGCATTCAGGAAGTATTGCAAACTTCTTTAATAATTTACTTTCAGCTTGGAAATTAAAATCCCCTCATTATAATACTGTATTTGTTTTAAGCTATTTTCTTCTTCCAGTATTCTTAGGGACTACTTCTATGTGAGTTAAATGGTTTTGAGTAGTTTTTTCTGGCGTGATTTTTTCCAACTCAGATTCATTTGGAGTAGAGAACTAAGGCTGTTCTTAACTTAGAATAGTTGTTTTATAATGCAGCCAAGTCACGGCTACCATGTATATTTACCTCTTGATGCAATCTAAGCAGTAGCATGTTAAAATATACTTTATAATGCCCTTCCAACAAAACTTAGCATTTATGGCTTGATATAAACACTGAAAAGTATTTATGGCTTTTTCCTGGATATTTTAAGAAAAAAATAGATGGAAAATGCCTTCATTTTACATAGTGATTGAAGTAAAGATTGAAAAGTAAACCGTCTTTTTTATGCTATGTGTTAATTATAACTTCACTTTTCGGTTTGCAACATTCCATCCCTTCGGTCCAGAAAGTAAAATCATTATGCCCTTTCTTGTTTTGACATATTTGAAATTGAGAGACTCTTTGTTCTCAGTGGTAGTTAGGTAAAGTTTGTTTAATAATCCATCCATGTAACTTTCTTAAAATTATAAGTTCATTGTATTTCTAGTAGGTTTGGACATGTAGGGAGAAGATCCATGGGTAGTAAGAAGAGTAGATCCGATGGAGGGTAGGCAAACTACTTGAGGTAGGGAAAGACTTAGAAAAACCATAAGAGAAACTATTAGGAAAGATCTTGATATTAATGAGTTGGATACATGGTTTTCGATACAACATTATGGCGTGCTTTGATCCATGTAGACGGCTCCACTTAATGGGATAAAGCTAGGCTGTTATTGTATATTTCTAGTAGGTACTTTTTAAAAGCAACTATAATACCTAGAAAGAGTTTGCACCTTTCCTATTTTGTTTAAAATTGTTTAAGTTGAGTGTTGTAGATAGAAAGCAGTGTTATTCTCTCAACCAAGTTATCTGTGGAGGGGCCTCTTAGAATGAAAGAGGAGTATGTGGAAGGGATTCTTGTGTCACCAACAGTTCTGGAAGACAGAGTACCCGAACAGCTCAAAGGTGCACTTGGACAGGCAGTTAATGTTTTACAACAGCTACCGGTACCTTTACGAGATGCTCTTTCCAATGGACTAAAGGTTCCTCTAAGTAAGCTACCACTGATTTCTATATTCACTTCTTAACATGTCTCTGATTTCTTTATGTACAATCTGTTGAATATTGGTTTCACTATGCACTTCCAATATTAGGGTCTGTTTATTCTGTTGTTTTCACTGATAAAATAACCAGTTTAATGGTAGTGCACTATCTGTGTAAAAAAAATATTAAACAGACATCCAATCAGAATATTTTAAAGTGCCAAATCATAAAAGTATTTTAAAATTTACAGTGTGACTTGGCACTTTATATGGTTGTCATTGGTTGACAGTGTAAAAATATTTTACACTGTCTGTGCACCATCCCTTTTCTCAACCATAAGAGAAGATATTATCATATACACTTTTGATGCCATTTCATGTTTGAAGGTGGAAGCTTTCAGAGACTCTTCATGATTTCTTATCTTGATGAGGAAATACTTGTAAGTTTTGAATTCAGTAAATAATTTTAGATAAGTTTAATTCGCGTGTTCCTGTATAAATTACAATGCATATAAAGCTAACATAAAATCTCAGTTTAATTCATGCACTAACAAACACTTTTATGCATACTCTTAAAATTTGGGTTAGAGTTAACTAAACCTTACGAAATCGGTGTGTAAGGTGAGGGATGTCTCCCATTTATGAACATATTGTCAGATTATATCTCATTTAATGCGGGGCTAACACAGTGTCTCACACTCAAGATTGAGTATCTGAAGTGTGACTCGAGGGGCCTGATAGTGGATGACCAAACGGATCATGAATCGACTCTGATATGTTATGGTAGAATTAATGTTGTGTTTAACTTAACCCCACAAAACTGATTTGTATGATGAGGGATATATTCCACTTCTATTCAGTTTTCTAGCTATATCACATCAAATGTGAGACTCTCGACAAGTACTAGTATTCCATCTGGTTACATGGGAAAACGATAGGATTCAAATGTTCTTTTACTCTTCTGTTTTCATTTCAAGTAGACATTGCGAATCAAGTCGAGTAGCCTTAGAAGTTAGATCTAATGTGTAATTCCATTTTTTACATTTAGTTAATCAAGTTATGATAATATCTGAATGTTTATGCTGGTTCTGATGCAGATAATAAGGAACACATCCGGGATTCCAGAAGTTTTAACAAAAATCGAAACATCACCATCGCCTCTAGGAGAATCAAATCTAGAGTATGAAAGCTAGTAATTCTGTATGGAAAGTGAACTATTTTTCCTTGGTTTTCGTCGAGGTGTAAAGTCAAACTCTTGTTCCTTCTAACTATCTATGTGAATATAGAAGTTTCAGTTTGACACTGATACCATTTCCTACAAAACCGTATTTCATGTTTCTGTATCACAACAAAAGTGGTTCTATGATCTAGAACTTGAATAATGCTAATCATTAGACCAATTGTGAAAATTTAAAAGGAAAATTTGTCTGTATTTTTTTGTTTAGTTCCAATTTATATAGCTGAAAAATATATTGCGTCTGTGCAATGATTTTAGGCATACTCGCGCAATTTTCAAATGACATTTTTTTGGTTTCACTTAAATCTTCTTTGTCCAATTAATGGTGTGTTTAGAAGAGCTTATTGAACTTATTTTATAACACATAAGTATTTGTGTAATTGTATAGAGGGCTTATGAATAAAAACAAAGTCATATTTTTGAGTTTATATGCTCATATGACAATTTAGATTTTTTTTATAACAGTTTTTTTATCAGAAATTTATAGTTTATTTTATTAACTTATATTTATTTTTCAAACTCTGTTTTACATAGTGTTTTATAGTTTATCATTATTTCTTTAATTTTTATTTTTATTATTTTAATAAAAACTCACTTTTATCCTTTATAATTGATTTTAATTTAAAATTAAATAAATATATAGTAAATATTTTTTATATTATTTTATATTTATAAATTAGTTAAATCAGTATACTTGTTTACGCATGAATTAGGTAAACAACCACTAATCCTCCAAACTAAATATTTTGGTAACTTGTAGGATTGGCTAGATTGATCCTAGGACACGTGTCTAAATTTCTAAGATTAAACTTGTAATGGAATTCATGTTTAACATTATTTTGTTGATAATAATATAAAGATTAGAATTACAATTTAAAGTAAGTTTGAATAAAAGAGCTTCGAATGAGCAATGCAAAGGTTTCGACTGGGAACGTAAAGAAACATAAAGGAAAAAGTAAAAGTTTTAAATAAAAAGTAAATGAAATATTGGAAATGTTAAAAGACTTGATATTGATAAAGTAAAATAATTCGAAAAGAACAATAATGGTGTCTATACGTACATTTTCTGTAACTCTTTTCTCTAACACTTGATACTTCGAGTATATTGAGTAATTTGTACAAAATGAACACCCCTGAATCTTAACATTAAGATTCCTATTTATACTAACTTGACCCTAACGGTCTTTCTATGATAGAGTGCAACGTTCGAAGATTGCATATCCTTCGAACCCACCAGACTTCCACGTGTCCTCTGTGACTCAAACATTCGATTTCAAATTTGAATTCTTCTCTTCTGTTGGCGCCAAGTTTTCGATGTACATATCCAAAAACTTTCAATTTCAAAATATACTTAACGAATATTTATTATATTCGTTTTGTCTGTCCATCGAATCATCCCAAATGCTTGGGCTTTTACTCAATTCAATCCAAACGAAGCCCAAACACCAAAAACAATATTAATGTGTTCAAACAAACGTTGCAATCGAAATTCTAAGCTAACAAATTGCCCCTCAAAACTGTGTATTCGATATGTAGAGAAATAATCATTTTTGAATAATAATCTTGAATTTCGATAGACCATATACTCATGATAACCTTTTACTGTTGTGACATCATAAAAGTAATCACCTTTTTTCAAAAGTCTATTCAGGCGTGCACATAGAAATTCATCATTACCACTTATGAAAACGGTTCCCAAGAGAAAATAACTTAACCTCTTCCTCTTCTTATAATAGATACACACGTGTCTCACTAACTTGTTATAGTGTAAACTTCTCAACCACTATAAGTGTTTTATAAACATTTCATCTTCTTCATCTTCACACTTCCATTTCTGTAACTTTCACTCTTCCAAAAAAATTCAAAAACAAAATCCATTTTTCAAATTTCAATCCAACACTTATCTCAACAATGTTGTCATCCAAGAAACAACAATCATCCATGAACATCAAAGGAACATGAACTTCAAAGAACGTTGCTCTTCAATCCGGGCTTGTTAGTGAACTTATAACCACTGAAAATCAAGAATCATCTCTACTTCCAGATTTACTCCAGAACAAAAAGCTATTTATGCTTCCCAGGTACTCATTCCTTCTTCTCTCGCTGATAAAACTCTATGTTTTATGGGACCTTTGATCTTTGCTGAAAATTTGGAAAAATTCGTAGAGTTTTTTCCCGTTTACCATGAGACTGAACCAATAGCTAATGGAGGCAAGCCTCCTAAGAAAAATGATGACGATTCTGCTAAGAAACCCACAAAAACTTCCAAAGAAAAAACTTCTGAGGAGACCTCAATTTCTAAGGCAAAGAGAGAAGTTTTTCAATTATATTACATAACTGAAAACTTTAAACCCTTTTGATCATGCCCCTCATTAGACAAGCTTTATCTGTCTTGGCTTTCCAAAATCGAAAAGAAAAAATCTCAAGACTGGAAAGATCTGGGTATCTTTGACTTAATTCAAATGTCAAAATTAGGATTTAGTTATTGTCAGCCTTTTCTATTAGCGTCTTTATATTTTTGGGATAACACCTATAATACTTTTCATCTTCATGATGACTCCCACTCTTTTTGACATAGCTGCAATAACTGGACTTCCTCCAACTGGAAAAACCTTTGACCCTTACTTGCAATCAGAAAACACCATTAACTTCCAAGTTAAAAATGCTAGTTTCACCGCTTATATGAATCTGTATCATACTGAGGGGGATGAAGTCACAAATGTTAAGCACATAGCTTTCCTAACCTTATGGTTGTCAAAGTACATTTTTTGCTGCAAGTCACTACAAGTTGCTAGGAGACTTTTAACCATAGCCAACCAATTTGCATTCTGGTCGAAAGATATGTTTGAGTGAATTGCTCTTAGTTGGTCTTTATGAGAGCTTGGGGTCTGCTACTTCTAAACTAAAAAGCTATGAAATTGGTACTAACCTGCTCCTTGTTGGCCCATATTGGCTTCTTCAGCTGTGGCTAAATACCACTTTCGAGCCATCACCTAGCACCTTTAAGACCATAGATGAAGAAGATCTTGATATTTCCAATCGGACCATTGAAGGAATCAGACTTATACAAACCCCAAACAAAGAGGCAGAAAATCTCCAAAAAAGTTTTACCAATTATATGATGATGTTTTTGAATTGTCATGATTTTGTCCCAACTATGGCTCCTTTTGCTTATCGAACCCATGGTCCTGTGTGGTTTACCTCATCCATCGAAGATGCTTTGAAGAATGCTGATTCAGAAATCGAAAACATATGGCATGCATTCCTTTTACCAAGGCTTCTAATCTCCAGGATCATGCCAGTGAAGAGCCATGTTTGTTTATTGGCCTACCAACCCAATTTTGTATCCCGCCAATTTGGGTTATGTCAATTTCTTCCTGAATATATCTTTAATCGAAAGAAAGAGATTTGTGTAGTAGGAGTGGATTATGTATTTCAGAACATCGCAAAGTATCAGAACTATCATGCCAATTTTGCTGAATTTAAACTTTGTTTCAACCAGCTTTCTACACAACTAAAAGTTTTTACTCTTGGTGGACTAAATTTTATACCAAGAACGTGTTCAACACTACTCAAATAAGAAAACGTTTAACGAAAGCTTTTTCGCTCGTGCAGGAAAATATTCAAAAAGGTAAGTTCACACACATCAAAGAAATTCAGGCGTTTCAGAGATACTTTGAAACTGTCTATGATCCAACTAATATTAGTCAAACTATTTTTGACGTAGCAAAAACTTTGAAAGATAAATTTACTAAAAAACTTCCAAGCCTAAAAATTCCATCTTCTATAAAGCCTGAACATAGATATGAACTAGATTTTCGATTACAACCACCAAAATTTTCAAAACTACCAAATGCTGACTTTGGTTTAGCGTTTTTTCCGCCTTATCCAAATTGGGTTACTTGTGGAAATATTTTTAACATCCTAAAAAATGATGCTCAAAAACCTGCTAAGAGAGTGGTTTCGACTAAGCATACTCTGGACAGTTTCAAAGGTCACCTTCACTATGACTTATCAGCAGTCTCTATTGTATCTGATACATATGAAGGTGTGGAACCAAAGGACTCCTTGATCGTTTCGATTATCCTTTCAAATTCACTCAATATTGTTCATTTAACCAACTTCAAATGTATATCTATTGTTAGTTGTCGAGAGAAAAATAGCCAAGAAAGAAAAACCTGGATTGAAGGCATGTTCGACTTCCAATCAAACTACTACCACAACCACCAAAGAGCCTTCTTCCGCACAGGATAAATCTCTAGACAAACCAAAATCGAAGAAAGTTAAGGTATGATTTTCAGAAACAAAACTTCCTCGAAATCCCTCACACAATGCCTAACTATGACGTTTTTCAGGCTAGTGGTCTTCCACCAGAAACTCCATGAAAAAGGAAAGCTGATGACCAAGATCTAGTGATTGTCGAAGACGAAGAAGACAATAACGAAGATGCTCCTCCTGCTCCTTTCAAAACCAAGAAGAAAAAGAAGAAGACCAAGAAATCTATTGACAATCCCAAACAATCAATTCCACAAGATCCTGAAACAATAACCTTGCCCCTAATCCAAAAAGAAATTCAACCTCAACCTATTATTCAAGTTGCTCTGGAACATATTGGAAGCGATGCTTCAAATGATGATGATCCAAAGGTGTGATTGAAATTCACAAGCCTTTCCTTCGAATGCTTTACTACTCGAACTAACTATATTTATTTACAGAATAAACAAACAACTGCTCCGGATTATTTTGCAAATTTTGAGATTCCATCTCAAATTGGTAATGCTTCGCCTCAACTTAATCCTAATGGTGCAACAAAGGTTCCACTACTGTTTCTTCTCAACTCGAGACTGGAGATGTTCAAGGAGAACAAGAAATTTCTTCTCCTAATGAAAATGTTTTGAAGGAATCTCAAAGAGCTGGCAAGAGGAAATAAGATCCAAACGAAGATAGCCCTAACGA